ATGTTCCACTAGCGTTTCTTTCTTGTTTTGGTTTAGAATTTGTATTAGTGCTATTTTGGCCTATATACAATTAATACTTAATGAATTATTCCTTTCAGTTTCTTATCTCTTAAATGTTAGATGGTTGACAATGAACGATTACGAAATAAAAAAAATATTTAGCTAGTATATTTATAGAATAAAAAATTTCAAATTTTCTGCTAAAATTAACCTATGTTAAGTAAGAATGACATATGTAGGCTTGTCTGCGACCTCTGAGAGGTCAAGGACACCGGTATCATTTGGGGTCTAGATTCCAGTCATGACAAAGTGTCTATTTGCTTTGTCTCCTTTGCTTTGTTTGCTCGTTTGGTTTGACGCTGGCTGTAATGGATGAAACACCTTTAGTTGTTTTTATTTCGACTCTTATCTTTTTATGTTAATGTTGCTTCCATTTCAAAATGGTTGTAGAGTTTTTAACTAATCAATGTCGAACTTGTATGTCGTTTTATTTATGGCTCATTGATGTAGTAGCTTGTTTTCTTTGCCTTCAATTCTAAGGCTGTGCTACTATTCAGCATACATCATTAATCAAGTTTCATGTTTCAGTGTCTCATTTTTTTTAGTCCAAAGTGTTCACCTCATTTTCTAATTAAACTCGTAAGATGTGGAGTCATATCACCGTCTGAACAGTACCTTGCTTTGGTCCTTATTTCTCTCTTCTGATCATTGTTTGCTTCCATTTTCCATGGTCATCTCATTCATGTGCCTACTCATTTTTTTTGTTTTTTAGTTTTGGAAAACAATCAAAAAAAGTTCTCTACACTCAAAGAACTTACAAAAAAAATATACAAACAAGCAAGCTAACTTCAGAAACGAAAATTTTACATCATCTTCTCGATGGGGTAGTGTTGAAGGTTTAGTGGAGGATTTGCGTAGAACTTTGAAGGTGTGGAAAGAAACAACCAGTTATGGGTTTTCTCTCTTGGAATTCTTTCTCCAAGAAAATTTTTTTCTACAAAATTCAACGAATGAAACTAGGGTTGTCCCCTTTATTGTTGAATTCCTTGTCCTTAGTCTCCTACCAATTCCGATCTGAATTAGGTTAGAAATCACGTTGTTGGTATCTTTTATGATAGCTAAGTGTGAATGTGATGTTCTTCGTGATTTTATTTTTGGAAATAGCAAGCATGTTCAATGATGTCAACCAAAATTGATGTGGTGCAATGTGTAAAATGTTTGTTGTTGTTCTCCGTTTTGAAGTCTTAAAATGGTTTGTTTGATGATTGGAATTATTATGCATAAGTTGTGTAAATTGTAATGTTTAAATGAAATGTGAGGGGGCTCATGTTAATTGGAATAATCTAAGCTAAAACAACAATGAATCTACACCTAAAAACGCGTTAAAACGGATTGTGAAAATACCACAAAACGAACATATAAATGTTGTTAAATAAAAGCTAGAAAATTTAGTAAAATTTCCAGCACTTGGTGATGGAGTTTTCGGCCAAAATACTTGAAGTTTGAGAAGTTTAAAAATAAATTTAAAACATGTGAGGTCAATGGGGATTGAACCCAAGACCTCACTACATGAAAGCTGAAAAAAATGAGAGGTGTGGGATTCGAACCCACAACCTCTCGGCCAAACACAAGAGTAAAAGGGAAATTTTAAATTAATAAAAATAATGGGAGTAGTGGATTCAAACCCATCACCTCTTGGCTGAAGGAAGAGACAAGGAGAGAAATTAAAAAATAATAATAATGAGAGGAGTGGGATTCGAACCCACCTCCTCTCAGCAAACATGGGAAAAACATAGGAAAAGGAGAAATAAATGAATGTTGTTATGAAAGACGATCCCGGATCTCCTAATGCTTAAACGCCTAAGGTTAGTGAGGGGAGGGAAAAAAAGGAAAAATAATGTTAGTGAAGGGATTCAAAATCGGGTTCCCCACGCCAAAATGTAAATCCAAAATTAGGTGAAAGAAAATTAACTAAGTGTTGTCCAAGAGATTCGAAGTTGGGTTCCCTTGCCTAATTCCGTACTGACATATAAGTCATACATAAGTGAATACTTAATTAATGCTGCCTCTAAAGACCAAAATCAATATCTTGGCATATCTACAAAATGCATAAGTCTTGTACCACATAATTTTGGATAAACATGAATCACTTAGACAAATTATAAATGAAGAGTCATGGCTTGTATATATTGACTCATAAGTCTAGCATAAGTTTAAAAGTAAGTGACTTAAGATGTATGTGATGAAATGATGTAAAACCTAGAAGGAGTTAAGTAAGAGTGTGGAACACACTAAATGACCAAGTGCATTGGCATATGATGAATGAACATTCATGTAAAGGGATAAGTGATTATGAAGAGCAAATGTGCTAAAGTTAATGAATGTGGTGACAACATAATAGGAGGCTAATGTGAAAGATGAGAGCAATCTCAAATGAGCCTAAGTAAATGTTACCAAAATGTACTCACCTATTAGAGTGTAAAGTTAATGAAGAGACCAGTCTCTATGAACATTCTAATGAAAGTATTGAAGTTAATGCATACTTAATACTAATTATGAGATGAGAAATCATCTAATGATCTATGATGTCCTCATGCTAGAAGTCATCTTCCATGATGTATGAGTTGAATGTAATGGAACTTTATACTGAGCACCGATAAGCTAGCTATAAGAGATGATGCCTTCTTTCGGGAAGGACGGAGGTTCACCTAACTCTTATGAGATGAAACTGTCCAGCATGCGGGGTATGAGTCTCCTTATATCTCCTAGTCTTCGAACCTATACTACCAATATAGGGATCTAGCGGGGTTCAATTCTCATGTACGCTAACATGTTTTGGGTCACTTTGGCTAATGATTCCACCTCTTTTTGGTGTGAGGGAGACACTGGATTTCATGATGCTCACATGATATATGTCGGTTAAAGTTAAAGTTTCCAAAGAATGAATGAGGCCAGCCTCAAATGATGCACAAATGAACGATACCAAAGTGTAAGGATAGGATACTCAAGAGGTGAGCTAGATTTAAGTAATGAAGCTAGGTTATTCTTAATCATTGAATCCGATGAGTGTTTTAAACTACATCCTAGGTATGATTGGTGATTGCACTAGTATGTGAAAGAATGAAAAATGAAGTACGTATGAATAAATGAAGCAGACTCTGTGTTTGCTAAAGAAGACTCCCTAGTTGAGGTCCCATATGTTGAGCCCTCGTTTTGGGAAGTCCTAACGTCAAGTCCATGATCCCAAGGTCTCATGGCATATGAAAGAATGAGATGAACTACGTGATATGATATGTCAAAAATATGTTATGTGATGTTTGCAAAATGATAAGTTTTATGATGCATGTTACACTCATGGCATGACTTTCCAAATCCAAATTTGGCAGGTCCATTTTTCTAATCCAAATTTGACAAGTCCACTAACTTGACTTTCCATAAATCATGTTGTTAGGAAAGAGCTATTCTTTCTCATGCATAATCTTGTGGTTATCGTTTTATAAAGAAGTTAAACCTTTATAAAATCATTAAGATATTGAATTATCGATTATTGATATTATCAGTTCAGTTATCGATTTAACCGTTAAGATTTGACAACAAAAAATCATTGAAAATCACTTAAAAACGAGGTGACAAACCAAATGAACCGCGGACATGAGTTCATAAGTTACATTTGCTCAAAAGCAAACACTTTTATATTGTAGAATAATCAAGAGTTCAGACAACCAAAAATAAAAATAGGAAATCTCTCACAACCCAATAACCTACTCGTGCGGGAACACCTAAGTAGGAGAACCGTTGATTGCCAAATGGTTAACAACAGGCAAAATATTAAGAAAACTGGATATAAAAGGAATTTCACTAGATTTTTATAAAATAAAGAGTTTAAACAGACCAAGTTTAAATTTACAGAATAAATAACACCCCAAAGATCTAGGGTATGTTTTGTATGAAGGAAAATATTTTTATGATAAACAAGTAGAATTTTGACTTATTTTCTTATGTTTGGTTAGTAAGTAGAAAATATTTTTCGAAAAAGATTTTGTGTTTGATTTATGAACGAAAAATATTTTTGAGAAATATATTTTATTTTTACTAGAGTAGAAATAATTTTTGAAATTGAAAATATTTTTTAAAAATAAATTATTACTTTTTTTGGAGGGTGGTGGTGGCATGGGTTAGGGGTGAATTTTTTATTTATATTTTTAATCTGAAAATATTTTAAAAGCAAAATTAAAATTTGTTTGGGAGGTAAGAGGGGGTTGATTAGGGGTAGAGGTGAAAAAATAAAATTTGAAGTTGAAAATCTCTTTTTAAAACAAATTTAATTTTTCTTTGGGGGTGAAGGGTAAGACTGGGCAACGGAACGGGACGTACCGGTACCGTTCCGGTTTGTCCCGTTTCGGTTGCCTACGGGACGGATCGGGATAGTCTAAACCGGTACACGGAACGGGACGGAACCGTAGTTTCATACCGGTGTACCGGTACCGATTCATCCCGGTTCATTCCGGGTCGGGTCCGATCCTGTTCCGG